TATATGCGCCTTGATAAGCGCTCCTGCGTTCCTGAGATAATACATTGATACCGTGGTATCCGTGAATATGTCCTCTATCAAGTTTTTATAGTGGTACCCTTTGGCAGTTAATATTGACCCGTTATATACCCACCAATAGATAGTAGCGCGGGTGCGTCGTCACTTATATGCGCCTTGATAAGCGCTCCTGCGTTCCTGAGATAATACATTGATACCGTGGTATCCGTGAATATGTCCTCTATCAAGTTTATATAGTGGTACCCTTTGGCAGTTAATATTGACCCGTTATATACCCACCAATAGATATTAGCGCGGGCGCGTCGTCACTTATATGCGCCTTGATAAGCGCTCCTGCGTTCCTGAGATAATACATTGATACCGTGGTATCCGTGAATATGTCCTCTATCAAGTTTATATAGTGGTACCCTTTGGCAGTTAATATTGACCGGTTATATACCCACCAATAGATAGTAGCGCGGGCGCGTCGTCAGGCGCTCCTGCGTTCCTGAGATAATACATTGATACCGTGGTATCCGTGAATATGTCCTCTATCAAGTTTATATAGTGGTACCCTTTGGCAGTTAATATTGACCCGTTATATACCCACCAATAGATAGTAGTGCGGGCGCGTCGTCACGTCTATGCGCCTTGTTAGGCGCTCCTGAGATAATACATTGGTACCGTGGTATCCGTGAATATGTCCTCTATCAAGTTTATATAGTGGTACCCTTTGGCAGTTAATATTGACCCGTTATATACCCACCAATAGATAGTAGCGCGGGCGCGTCGTCACTTATATGCGCCTTGATAAGCGCTCCTGCGTTCCTGAGATAATACATTGATACCGTGGTATCCGTGAATATGACCTCTATCAAGTTTATATAGTGGTACCCTTTAGCAGTTAATATTGACCTGTTATATACCCACCAATAGATATTAGCGCGGGCGCGTCGTCACTCATATGCGCCTTGATAAGCGCTCCTGCGTTCCTGAGATAATACATTGATACCGTGGTATCCGTGAATATGTCCTCTATCAAGTTTATATAGTGGTACCCTTTGGCAGTTAATATTGACCCGTTATATACCCACCAATAGATAGTAGTGCGGGCGCGTCGTCACGTCTATGCGCCTTGTTAGGCGCTCCTGAGATAATACATTGATACCGTGGTATCCGTGAATATGTCCTCTATCAAGTTTATATAGTGGTACCCTTTGGCAGTTAATATTGACCCGTTATATACCCACCAATAGATAGTAGCGCGGGCGCGTCGTCACTTATATGCGCCTTGATAAGCGCTCCTGCGTTCCTGAGATAATACATTGATACCGTGGTATCCGTGAATATGTCCTCTATCAAGTTTACATAGTGGTACCCTTTGGCAGTTAATATTGACCCGTTATATACCCACCAATAGATAGTAGCGCGGGCGCGTCGTCACTTATATGCACCTTGATAGACGCTCTGACGTTCCTGAAATAATACATTGATACCATGGTATCCATGAATATGTCCTCTATCAAGTTTATATAGTGGTACCCTTTGGCAGTTAATATTGACCCGTTATATACCCACCAATAGATAGTAGCGCGGGCGCGTCGTCAGGCGCTCCTGCGTTCCTGAGATAATACATTGATACCGTGGTATCCGTGAATATGTCCTCTATCAAGTTTATATAGTGGTACCCTTTGGCAGTTAATATTGACCCTTTATATACCCACCAATAGATAGTAGCGCGGGCGCGTCGTCACGTCTATGCGCCTTGATAGGCGCTCCTGCGTTCCTGAGATAATACATTGATACCGTGGTATCCGTGAATATGTCCTCTATCAAGTTTATATAGTGGTACCCTTTGGCAGTTAATATTGACCCGTTATATACCCACCAATAGATAGTAGCGCGGGCGCGTCGTCACGTCTAAGCGCCTTGATAGGCGCTCCTGCGTTCCTGAGATAATACATTGATACCGTGGTATCCGTGAATATGTCCTCTATCAAGTTTATATAGTGGTACCCTTTGGCAGTTAATATTGACCCGTTATATACCCACCAATAGATAGTAGCGCGGGCGCGTCGTCACTTATATGCGCCTTGATAAGCGCTCCTGCGTTCCTGAGATAATACATTGATACCGTGGTATCCGTGAATATGACCTCTATCAAGTTTATATAGTGGTACCCTTTGGCAGTTAATATTGACCCGTTATATACCCACCAATAGATAGTGGTGCGGGCGCGTCGTCACGTCTATGCGCCTTGATAGGCGCTCCTGCGTTCCTGAGATAATACATTGATACCGTGGTATCCGTGAATATGTCCTCTATCAAGTTTATATAGTGGTACCCTTTGGCAGTTAATATTGACCCGTTATATACCCACCAATAGATAGTAGCGCGGGTGCGTCGTCACTTATATGCGCCTTGATAAGCGCTCCTGCGTTCCTGAGATAATACATTGATACCGTGGTATCCGTGAATATGTCCTCTATCAAGTTTATATAGTGGTACCCTTTGGCAGTTAATATTGACCCGTTATATACCCACCAATAGATATTAGCGCGGGCGCGTCGTCACTTATATGCGCCTTGATAAGCGCTCCTGCGTTCCTGAGATAATACATTGATACCGTGGTATCCGTGAATATGTCCTCTATCAAGTTTTTATAGTGGTACCCTTTGGCAGTTAATATTGACCCGTTATATACCCACCAATAGATAGTAGCGCGGGCGCGTCGTCACTTATATGCGCCTTGATAAGCGCTCCTGCGTTCCTGAGATAATACATTGATACCGTGGTATCCGTGAATATGTCCTCTATCAAGTTTTTATAGTGGTACCCTTTGGCAGTTAATATTGACCCGTTATATACCCACCAATAGATAGTAGCGCGGGCGCGTCGTCACTTATATGCGCCTTGATAAGCGCTCCTGCGTTCCTGAGATAATACATTGATACCGTGGTATCCGTGAATATGTCCTCTATCAAGTTTTTATAGTGGTACCCTTTGGCAGTTAATATTGACCCGTTATATACCCACCAATAGATAGTTTGTTAGACTGTTTGGTTACAAAGCTAGTGGACGAGTTATTGTGTATTATTTTATAGTTTTATTTGGTTTAACGTGCTTTTAAATTACGGTATACTCAAATAACAAAAAACGAATTTGAAACAAATCACGACAGCAGTAAAATTGGCCTCGTCATACAGCGTTTGTTGAATGAAATGAACTATTTTAAATGGAAATGGTCATTACAAAAAAAATAATTAAAACTAACTAAGAAATCTTTACTACCGACCGGATGACATTATTAAGATAAATTAAAATTGCATCTCCCTAGCTCCCTCCCCCCCCCACCCGCGCGCTCAACAGTTACAGTTCAATGCCCCTCTCCTACCCCCCCCCCCCAAACACGGGCGCACGCTCCACAGTACACACACACACATGCAATGCACTATTTATTGGTGAAGTTATTGGCAGCTTCACAGAAGTGGCCACTGCCACTTCATACAGCCGATGCCAGCGACGCAATGGCGTATTGTTTATTGGTTACCGATTGTATCTGCAGTTCTCGCTACACCATCCTCCATTTCACGTGACTGCTCTTCTGAAATTTTTAATTAGTTTTGGTAGTGCGTGTTTATAACGTTTTAAATGGGTGACTTTATAGATATCAAATCAAATCAAATCAAATAATCTTTATTCATTTTTTTGTATTTACATGAATACATTGAATAGAGTCACAATTCTTATACCTAATGTCCTTAATTAAAATATGATGGTTACAAATAAAACTTTTTTATGTTGTTGTATGACAATGACACTAATAATTCTTTTTTTTATTTTACATTCCTTGAATTTAAAAAATCTTTACTTGAAAAGATAGGATGAGTCAATAGGTATTCTTTAAGGCGGGTTTTGAAACTGATATATTTTTCTTCACAAAGAATATTCTTCGGTAGATTATAAAGAAATTTAGTACCAATAAAAGTTGTTTTATTTTCAAAAATCTGTAATTTATGCGGTTCTACATATCTGTTATTTCTCAAGTTGTATGTATGTGATTTTTTACTGTATTTTTGTGTGTTTAATTTTTTTACATGTAAAATGGTTTCAAATATATATAGGTCATAAACCGTCATGATTCCTAATTTGGAAAAATATGGTTTTGTGGATTTTCTATTTTTTATATTAAAGATAATTCGTAATGCTTTCTTTTGCTGTTTCAGATTTTTTTTAAGGTTTTTATTGCTAGTCCCGCCATATATAGCAATACCATAAGCCATATGCGAGTTGATCAGAGCAAAATAGATTGATTTGAGAGTGTTAATATTGCATACATGAGACATTTGTCTCAAAGCATGTATGCCAGTTGACATTTTATTTACTACATGATCAACATGCTTATCCCAACTCAAATTCTCGTCTAGAATCAATCCAAGGAATTTTGTATGGTTTACTTGAATAATTTTTGATCCATCTAGCTGAACGTTTGGTTGTAATTTTAATAAAGATGCTATTGACAATCTGAAATAGTTACTGCTATCAAGCCTTAGTTCTTAAAAAAATAGTGGGATGTTCCCGTTTTTTCTCTGCTTTCATTAATCGGATGAATCCAGAACATATGTTTAATCCTACGGTGCTTAATACGTCGATACAATAACCACATAGCAACAACTCTTTTATGATTAAGTATTCAATAATGTCGTCTTGTCCTCGACACAACCACAAAGACTGATCGTTTGGCTGATAAAATTCTGGTATGTGTGCAAGCACCATGGACCAATAAAATATCGACCGACTTATTACGGACCGTCCAAAATCGGTGTGTGTGCAAATAGCCTGATGTGAGCTGCTGGGGGCTTTGATTCAAAATTAGGCCCTGGAATCACATGACAATCCTCTGACCTTAATCCTATAGTTCATAATAAATCACCCTGTGTTAAGTAAGTGTACAGTCGCCAATGTGAGATTAGTTTTAAAAGCTGATGTGATTTTGTTGGTAGTTTCCTGGCTGTGGAAGAGATGCGAAGAGGTTCGTCTCCTGCTGCAGCGACTCGAGAGGCCGTCTCTCGTATCAAACAGTTCTACCCATCATTCAGTGGCGCCATCATTGCTGCCAACCTGTATGGTGAGTACGCAGCCGCTTGTCATGGAATGGACACGTTCCCTTTCTCTGTTCATGATCCGCACCATCCAGAGGGGATTGTTTTACGAGTTCCGTGTATATGAGACGAACTGTAATTGTTCACTTCTAAAATTGCTAAATTTATAGGTAATGTTTTCAAATACAATATTGGGTGCTATATTTTGTGTAGTTCTATTTGAATTACCGGAATTTAGTATATTGCAGTGACTAGGTTATTTTGAAGATGTAACCAACAGATAATTACCATTAGGATATTACTTTATTTTGTTGTCTTTCCACGCCATTGGCACCTAACGTCTTTTGGAATAAACCTTGGTCTCGATACAACCTTTGTCACGAGTTGTTGTAGAATAGAATCATTGAAGTGATAGTCGATAAATATTTACAACTGTGCCAAGAATAGTTAACTAAGGATTGGGGTTATGAATACCTTCTCAATACCAAAGAAAGATTTAGTAAAAAAGATTTTGTGCCTTAACACTAAGTCACCTCTTCTAGAAGTTAAGTCATATACTATTTAGTTGTATAAATTAGTGTAGTAGAACTCCAATTATCCGAATCAATTTGAACCGTACCCCATTTTGAAATTTAAAATTCGGAAAATTGGATTTTTACCAAAATTCAGAGTCAAAGAGTCTGCAACGATTGTCACAATCACAAAATTTACCTTTTCAACGCAATTGCGGAGTACGATAATGATTTTGGCAGGAGACGATCAATGATGGTGTCTACACAACTGTGGATTTATCTATCATTTTGCCGCGAGCGTGAAACACGATGATTATGTTACCAAGAATACAGGAGACGATGATGGTGTCAAAAATGCCATGGGATATATTTATCATTTTTCCGCAATCACGAAAAATGATGACGATGTTACCGTGACCGCGGGAGACATTGATGGTGTCAACACAACATTGATGGTGTTAACACAGTCGTGAGACAGGTTTTGGATTTTTCCTTGATGATGGTTTCTGCCTTATTTAATAACGATTCGTATTGCTGTGATTTTAAATTTTTAAATAATATCTGTAAGCAATTTGGATAGTTGGAGTTCGGATAATTGGAGTTCTACTGTACTCAAATGTTAGTATCTAATTATTTCCAATACTGTGTGTGTTTATATATTTACTACTTGTTTGTTAAAACTGCACAAGGCCTTAATGTTATGAAATCTAATATTCTTATTGGTTTAAAAAGTAGCATTGGTTCATTTTCCTAAAATATATATATTTGATACTTTTAATACTGGAAATAGGTTATCAAACTGCAAAAAACGTGTTATTAAAATTTAAGTAAGAAATTATATTTTTAAATAATACCTTTGATTTTGACTATTGATTGGTAAAACTAGACATTCCATCCCCACGTTAGTTGTTGCCCAAAACGGACGTAGTAGAAGTGAGCCACCTACAGATTGTGCTGATAAAATTATTGAGTTGATAAAACAACTTTTGTAAGCTGTAGCATCACGTCAACTATCTCAATAACAAGGAGGTAAAAAAGTATAATTTTGTACACTAGCGCAATCCATGACTGGCTCACGTTATTTTTTTTTTTAAATTCGCGACAGCTATTCCTTATAGATGGCATGTCTAGGTAGAACACATGGGAGTAGCCAAATCTTGTACATTCTATTGTATGTATGAATTGGCTACTCCAATATATTCTATCTTTTTCATATCATCAATAATTTACCCTACACCGTGAAGAACAATTTTTATGTGTCCTTTATTTGTGAACCTGTAAAAAACACTTCAACTTTGTCAGGTAATCACCTTTTCCCTGTTGAAATAATCTCCTTAAACATAATGGATGTCAATGAAAAAAGTCACAATATTTAACAAAATTATTTTTATTAAAACTAATAAGACAGATAACATAGCAACATAACTATACCAACAATATAAAAACCTGAAATGTTTATCTCGATCAGTCTATTGATTAGTGATATTTGTATCTTTCTGCATAAAACATTCTACACATCAATAATGAAATAGTTGTAGTAGACTTATAAAGGAATATTGTTGTATCAGATCATAAATTTTAAAATTAAAAACTAGGTCTAGGCTAGTAAAAAAACAATGAATTAAATATTAGTAATTTGTGCAATCGGGATGGCATTAGCACATACACAAAAACACACCATGTAATAATTGACGATATGGAAGAAACCAGCTTGTGAAAACAAATGGGGTAACTTAAAACACTGTTATTACATTCAGTACAATAAATTGGCATAAAACATCTCCATTTATAACCATTTGGCAATCTAAAACATTTTAGGCCAAGCAAATATGGCAAGCTCGAATAACCTCTTTGTACTTGGAACCAAACAATTTTAACTGCAAAGACACAAATACAGGCCAATTTGTAGAACGGTTTTGCAAAACCATCTAATACACAGTCCTAATTAACCGTTTTCTATCACAAGGCTAACTTACAAAAAAGGCACAACATTGATTTTTGTGGCATAACTGTCACAAATAAAAATAATATTACTTCTACTTTGGCTCTTGAAACGTAAATCACACGTCTTTTCCGCAACACAAGAGTACAGTGGAAAGCTTGAAATGCAGTTCAAAATTAAAAAGTTAACAAATCTTCCAATACCTGTTTATGGACAATATCCGAATAGTAATAAGTAGTTATAATATTTAAACAGCTCTCTTAACTGATCAACTATATCAACAATTAGCTTTTTCATAGGATTAGTGTAATCTTCTCTAATACAATCTCCATCTGAATATGATTATAATGGCCCTGCTTTGATGGTAAAAAAACTTATACAAAAAACCTGGGAAAATAACTATACAATTATTAAAATTATAAAGTATTTTTCCTACCACTGCATGGAATAATAACATTGCCACACCTGTAAAAAGTACGCAAAATAGCTCATTTCCACTCTAGAGTGAGAAAGGCCAGCAGGAAATGTATGGCCGCACAAAGCTTAAAGTTCTCAAGTGGCAATGATATATTTTGTGCTCTTAATACACAAATAGCTATTCTCCACACCTATTTAAACGCTTATAGCTTTTCCAAAATATTTACGACCATCTGAATAGCTTCCAGATCTTTTACAGTATGGAACATACTTTCTAATGGTTCAACAGAACAATATTGTTTACCAAACCATATAGGGGCAGATTGAAATACTCAATGTACCTTAAAGGTAACCGACTTTATTGTACCAATCAATTTTCCACTGTATCACCAATTTATATACATCGAGCCAAAAAAATTAACCACCTTCAAAGCATCTTGATGCTGTAATATCTTGTTAAGTCTTACTACTAAATCTCGTGTAACTATCGCTTATAGAAAAAATACAAAAGAAAGTGTTTTGAGCTTAGACAGGTCAGATCTGGGAGCTGAATCTTGGCCGAGGGAGATCTCCAAAGACAGCATCTCCGTGGACACTCTTCGCGAGGGCTTTGATACTGGCTGCGATGTCCATGGGCTGCTGTGGCACCTGCGCAACATTGTATAATTTAAGAAGGTTGCATTTAATTTCAGTTTAATTACTGTGACTATTACTATAGTTAGTTGGTTCACAAAATTTAGGCAATTAAGGGGAAGATTCCTGGGTTCCCCCACAGCTTTTTTATTGCTTAATCTGTCGTTTGGTTTCAAAGTTAAAGTAAGGTAAAGAGGATGAAATGGCTTTGCCTCAAATCGCCTAAATTTTGTGAACCAACTAACTATAGCATTTCCACTAATCTGTCCTACCTTGTAACCAACACTGCACTACCCTGTAGATCCTGTACCTTAGACTACCCCACCCAGTACCTGCAGTAACCTACGCTGCACTACCCTGTAGATCCTGTACCCTAGCCTACCCCACCCAGTACCTGCAGTAACCTACGCTGCACTACCCTGTAGATCCTGTACCCTAGCCCACCCTACCCAGTACCTGCAGTAACCTACGCTGCACTACCCTGTAGATCCTGTACCCAAACCTACCCCACCCAGTACCTGCACAGGGTTGCCACCAAAGTGAGATAAAAAAATTCATGCATAATTCAAGGTTTTCATTGGTAGTTTTGAAAAATTCATGGGGTATATGCTCGCACAATTTCACCATAAAAGAGTGTTGCCTAGTTCAGAATTGTACATTAATTTATCGACAATATATAGTTTTGTGTGCTACTATCAAATAAAACACATTTCATGCGTTTATTTTACAGTGAAAAATAAGAATTTAATAAAATTTATCCAGTCTAAAAAAAGTAAAATCACAGATGAAAAAGGATATTAATAAAAATCTTGTGTGTGATAATACGATGTAATTATAAAAAAAAATTAAACATCTGATTTAACAACATCATAGGCCTAATGATAAATTCAAATGTTAGAAGAAATAATAAATAAAAAATAAGTCGGATTGGTAGTTAGGTCTAGGCCTAACCTAAAAAACATTACATCCAAACATAAAAGGTTTAACTTAGTTAATCCAGCAATGGCCTAGAACTTTACTGTCTAAACATCAAATTAAGATAATAGGCATAACGTATTTAATTAAGATAATAGGCATAATAAAAACAAATGTTAAGAACATGATCCAAGAAACGGTTAAGTTACCTTAGTAATGGACCATATCTAGGCCTACTAAAACGCGCATGCAATCTATTACTTTATACTGTAACACAGTAGGCTAGCCTACATTGTAATCCAAAGCTGAATCTAGGCTAAGTTAGGCCTGAACCAACTTTTATTTATTGAGAAGATTAAAGGTTACCGACTGACTGATAAAAACACTCTAAAAAGGTAAGATTATGTAAATAAATATTTAGTTAAAGCTAAGAACGAAACAAAAGTTATGGAATGTATGTAAGTTTAGACATAGGCTAACTTACATTAAGTAGGCCTAATAAAAAAATAATTAATTACATTCCCCTACAGAAAAGGTTAAAATAAACTTAGTTAGGAGGATGTTTCTTCCGACTGGATCAGTTTATATATTATTATTTGCCTACACAGGTTTAAATCACAGTTAAAACAATTATTTAATTAAATTTACATCTCATTAGTTAGTATTATATATCTCATTAGTCTCATTATTGACTGAAAACACCTAGTT